TTCACCACCTACACCTACACAGTACTCACCAAACCAAATGCATAAAATCCCACCATATATATATATATATATATATATATATATATATATATATATATATATATATATATATATATAATATATATAGCTCAGTCAGACCCCAACATTACTCTCTCACTCACCCCTGCTTTCCCCACTCCTTTTTTTTTTCTTCACCCCCCACCCCCATGCCAGACACAAACATTATTACATTAACATAAGCAAAAACTATTCTTGAAACCTAAGCTTGTTTGCATTCATATCAAGATGGCCTCCGCCTGCATATCAACTTGCGTTAACGATATCGCCAGAGCACCGGTAAGAGCCACATATATAAACCTGTATAAATGGCCGGAATCCGACGCTGAGTTCATAAAATCAGTCAGCAAAAGAATGAACCACGTGAATACTACGGACGGGTCCATTAATCATCAACCAAAGCCAAAGGTGGTGGACAGCATTTCATGCAGGCAATTATACTTAAGAAGCTACACTTTTTCAAGAGAAGAGAACGTTAACGAGAAAACAGTACTGAATTGCTATGGAAGAGTGAAAGATGGGGTTAGAAGAAAGAAAAAAGCTCGTAATATTGCTGGTAGTAATTCAAGTGGTGGCCGGAGAAGTAGTAGAAGAAAACGTAAAGGTTTTAGAAAGGCTAAGGAGATATCATGCGCTGCTTTGGCTTCCATATTCCGACGACTATTATCTTGCACAACCAAGGTTGATGTGGTTGGTTAACGCTAAATTAATTGCTTACTTATTTGAAGACTTTTCCTTCATTTTCTTCCATGTTTTATTTCATTTTCTCTTTTCTACTTTGGTCTTTGAGCTTTTACTTAAACAGCTAGCATGTTGTTTGCATATATGGAACCGAATATTATGGTAATGTATGGATTATTGATCGGATTTAATACAAGAATGTCATTTTTGTGGTAGGATTTTGATAGAGGAAATGGAACTAGCGCTTGGACATAAATTTAGTTGAAACTTAAAAAAAAGAAAAGAATTTTTGAAGATGAGATGAAATATAACTTTTGAGTTGAAATTGTGTTTGGACATGCATTTTACTTGGGAAAAAATTTAAAGTTTAGAGTTGTTTTTGGGATCTGAAAATTTTGATTTCAAAATCTGCCAAAAATATTTAAAATCTAGAAACAAACAAATATTTAAACACAAAAATTGGAAAAAACTCCCAAATTTTATGGCAAAACAACATGAGCTAAAACTTGTGTGTGTGGGTGGGGTGGGGGGGGGGGGGGTACTGGCGTTACTGGCCAATATAATTCAACTTAATTTTGAATGGATTGGATTTTAAACTTTGGTGATTTTTCTTATCTCAAATTATATTACTCCTACTTCGTATTTAAAAAAAAAATAAAATAAATATAAACGGTGTCAGTATGGTGTGTTACATATATTTTTTTAAACCAAATATCGTAGGGTATAAGATGAAACTTTTCTTCAAAACTTTATCGAGTGACACACTTTACTAAAGGCCGTCATAGCCATTGATCTTGTAGTATTATCTTCTAATTGCTGAATTTGTAAATAACAATAATGGTTTGACATTTAATTGTCTCATTAAAGTTTTACTTGTGATTTAGGTTAGTTTGTGAGTAAGCAAAGCGAAGGGCGACCTCGTAAGAAACAAAGAGCGGCAAATCAGCTAGTAGTTTCCACTGGCACTGGAGTTACGAGAAAGATAAAGACAAAGTTGATTACTAACAAAAAGAATAAAAGAAAAGAATTAGAGGAAATTTGAGTCTTGAAGCATAGTCCAACTTTAATCAAATTAGACCTCGATTATGTTTGTCATGTCTACGCGCGTTTAATCCATTGGGTATAAACAATATATAACGTCATCGTTGCTAAAAGAAATAAAGAAGAGAAGGAAAAAGAAAACAAGAAAAATGTATAGATATAGAGGATCTATTTGTTTTAATTTTTAAAATAGTAAGCATTAACTAAAAGGACAACTCGATGCATGAAGTTACAAATATTAGCTTTAACTACATATATTAGCTCTTTAGGGAGGGACGGAACCAGTGTATAATTTATGGATTCGGCTAAACCCAGTAACTTTAGTCAAAACTCTGTATTTGCCCTAAGAAATTCATTGAATATAAATTAATTAGAACCGAGTAACTTAAAAAATGACTAAAATCCAGAACACATAAATTTTAGATTCTGGCTTCGTCTCTGTTTTCAGGAATTGATATTTCTTTAGCTCTAAATTTATTAGTGATTGAACAAGAAACTTGATTGATCGTATTCGTATACTCTTATCTACATCTACAAACTAGAAAAGCAGAAAATTGCGTTAATCTTATCCCATAAGCTATATATACCATACCACAAAAGTTGGATCATTACCATCCTTTCCTCAAAAGTTCAAGCCATATTCACATAATTGGATTATCCAAACACGTTCTTTACTAAAGGGAGTTCTCCTTATACTTTTGCAGTTTCCAATTATTCAACAACTTAAATCTCTACATTGTGTGTACTTGGACTTAAAACATTTATCTACCTCTCTAGAAATCCACTTCATCACAATTCGCTTATAATATGTGTTTCACCTAGAGATATTTGACATTATTATTAATTTTGTAAAAGTAAATTGTGCTTACATGTTACCATACCATATAATTATAACCACTCATATGTGTAACCCCCCCCCCCCTCCCCACCAATCAAGTTGCTTGAGAGGACGGGGTATAAAGGAACTCGATCAGCGGAAAAGTATCATGATCAAGAGAAGACGTAGGCCAAAAGAAAAGAAGCAAAAAGGAATGGACCAACCATAAAAAAGTATAGTTGTAATAAAGTTTTTAGTGATGAAATTGGAAAATAATGGAGCTTAGAAAGCAAGTTTTAATGGCTACAACGCCTGCATAATGTGTATTCATTAGCTCTCTCTCTCTCTTATTTTTGTTTTGTGAGTGTGTCTTGTCATAATACTGTGTCAATGTTGTATGTCTCTATGTAATTATCACTTAGGGCACGCAATTAATCATCATAAAGGGCCAGCCGTGACAGAGACTTCACTGTCATTTTCATTCACTCTCCTTTTTAGCTGTATTTCTTATAACTAGGGATGGCAATAGGGCGGGTGCGGGTTTAACCCGCAGAATTTTCAACCCACCTCCCGCCTCGCCCCGCGTCAACCCGCCCGCTTGCCCTGCGCAGCTTAGTTTAAAAAAAAAAAACTACTTTATCTTTTCT